TTAAATCTCAACATGCCTACTTAAGTCAAAAGCTGAACAATTCTCGGACACTCTCGAGTTTACAAAATCTAGCGACCTTCAAAGGCTTTGTAAAGATATCTGCACTCGATCTTACATGCTTGCAGTGTTCTATTTCAAGCTTCTTATCATTAACTCTGCTCTCTCAAGAAATGAAACCTCTCTCAAGAAATGAAACCTCATTTCTATATGTTTGCTTTTTCCATGAGCTGATGGGTGTTTAGCTAAGTCTATTGCAGACTTATTATCAACAAACAATGTTGGTGGTTGGACCAATTCGCATTCGGCTCCTTCAACGAGCATCCCGAGCCATGCGGCTTGACATGCGGCTGTGCGGCAGCCTATATACTCGCTTGACAGGAGGAGAGAGCTACCACGGGTCCGGTGTTACACAGGTATCTTAGACTTCCAATGATTCCGCGAAACTCGTGTGATCAACATCTTCCTCCTCGGTGCCCCTTTCTAATCTCGGACCCATTTCCGTTGGAGTTTACTGCGACATTGCAATTCTTCATCCCGAACCTGCTAAGAATATCATGTGAGTATTTCATCCGATGCATAATAGTTCCAATGCCTGTATACCTTGTGCTCTTCTCCTTTGACTATGAATCCCAATGGTCTGTGTTACATATATTTCCTCCTCCAAATAGCCATTTAAGAAGGCAGATTTTACGTCTAGTTGGTGGAAAGACCAACCCTCCAACCATGTTTATATCGGTTAAAACATTTTACAAACATTTTCTGAGAGTGATTCAATCGATTGATTCTCATTTTAATCGATTGATTTACTTTAAAACTTTCTTATAAAACTTTTCAAGTTATTTTAATTGATACAAAGAAGTTTTAATCGATTAAAAAGCTGCACGTAATTTTTCTAAGTTGTTTTAATCGGTTGAAACGCGTTTTAATCGATTGAAACTCTGTACAAAGTTTTCCCAAGTTATTTTAGTCGATTGAAATGCGTTTTAATCGATTGAAATATGTCTGATCGGTCATAATTTAATTCGATCGATCATAACCACCTATGATCGGTCATAATTTCAATCTGATCGATCATCCTGACTTCCAAAGTGGTTTTAATCGATTAAAAGAAGTTTGTATCGATTAAAATACTTGTAAAAACACTTCTTTAAACATTCTAAGTGATTTTAATCGTTTCTTTTAAAACTATATCGAGTTAAAAACATTATTAAGAAAGTTCTTTGTCAAAATGCTTTTGTTTTTGATTTGTTTAAAACTATTTTTGAGGCATTTTGCAAAATGATGAAAAAACTTTATGCAGCAGAAACTTTCTGTTAAGACACACTCAATCTTCAGCTCAATTATCTGGGTGACTTGTTGACTGCTGCAGAGTTGACTTTTGACTTTATCTTTGACTTCATCAAATCAATGACATCTTTTGCTAGCATCACTTTCAGTATATGACTTTAGATAGCGGTTATTTGGCCAACCGCTATCTAAACTACTACATTAGAAAGCGGTTAAAGCCAACCGCTATGTAATATATATTTTAAAAGCGGTTGTTATCAACCGCTATCTAAGGTGATTCGGTCATTACTCGCTCAAGCGACAAAGTCACCGCTTGAGCGATGAAGCCTTCAAACAAGGGGGACTCTCGGGTTCTGTTTTGCTCGAGCGAGAAACCATCGCTTGAGCGAGAAAACCTGCAACTATTTACAATGCTGAGTCACCCACCGAAGTCAGGATTCCCATGTCTTGGCCAAAGCATTGGATTCCAATCTTGGCCAAAGCATTGGATTCCAATCTTGGCCAAAGCATTGGATTCCAATGTTGGATTCCCTGCATTGGGTTAGACAAAAAAGCAGAAACCATGTGAGGGAGCATTGGATTCCAATGTTAGACAAAATCTTGGATTCCAATCTTGGATTCCCTGCATTGGGTTAGACAAAAAAGCAGAAATTTTTGCCCTAAATTGTTTGAAGGCTTCTTCCCCCTTGTTTCCAGGTGTCCTCGCTCAAGCGGTGTGATTTTCGCTTGAGTCACTTTAGATAGCGGTCTTTTGGCCAACCGCTATCTAAACTACTATATTAGATAGCGGTTGGGCAAATAACCGCTATCTAATGCAGTAGTTTAGATAGCGGTTGGCCAAATAACCGCTATCTAAGGTCATATATGTCAAAGTGATCGACTATAATGGGATAATAGTCGATCATACTTTTCGCTCAAGCGAGAAAACCTTCGCTTGAGCGAGAATTTACCCCAGACTACCCCTTTGTTACAGGTTTCCTCGTTCAAGCGAAGGTTTTCTTCGCTTGAGCGAGAGTTCAGTCCGCGAAATAATATTATTTTAATACAGTGAACAGTGAACAGTTGCGCGAAATAATATTATTTTATTAAGTGAACAGTAAACAGTGCTAGTTGTGTAAATAAAGTTGCAGAGTTGCTATTTGGGTAAATATTTTTTAAAACAGTATTATTTATGAAAAAAAGTCAATTATTTTCCCGTATCGTCTAGTCTTATTAATCACTTCAAACCACAAAATTCTACACTAGCTGGAACTTCCATAATCTTACTCAGAGATCAATTCTGATAACCTCCATTTATTTCAACCTTGTTCAATTATACTCTACTTAGCCAAATTACTCTTGACGTACGTCAAGAAATGTTTTCGACAAAGCAACTAATGCATTGGAACTAATGTTTTCGACTAAGATATAGTGGAAGTTTCAAGGATTCGATCAGGATTCCTTGTTGATTCCCAAGTCTTCGGGTTGATCTAGGCAGAATTTTTAACATGAGACATTTTAATATCTGGATTCCAAATAAAGAATGTCAATTTTTTCCTTATCAATCTTAGATATTCTTGAGACAAATTGGTTTAAGGGAATTGTTTTCTCAAATCTTAAACTGGGCTTCAAATTTTAGTTAGTTACTGCGGAAATAACTTTGAAGCTAGAATCGAAGACCATGATGCCTAAGGAATTCAATGATTAGTCATGTCCTGCACAATAAAATAATTTTTAGTGGTTAAATTCTATAGTAGAATTATCTTATGAAAAGAATACTCGGCACTCCATCAATCATGAAATGCTTTAGTGTTGTACAGGCTATTGGCCTATTATAAGATTATTTTTCTTTAGTAAGAAAGTATCGAAAGAGAAGAAGAAAAAATGTAGTTACTTCATAGTTAGCTTGTAAAAGAGATTCTTTTGTTCTTATTTACCTTGTATTTTGGTTCTCTATTGTCTTATTAAATATTTATTAAGATTATCATTTATCCACATGGAAAGAAAATATTTTGTTGATTCATGAAGATTCTAAGAGAACTTGCATTGTCCCATTAATTATTACCAGTGAAAGTTTTTAACTGTGAGTTAAAAATCTTGCCCAAACTTCATTTAGTTCAACCTGAAAGTTATGGGAATCAGCAGGGAATCTAAATGAAAGCCATGAAAGTCTTGCTATCAAGATCTTGGCTAATGAATTCTTAAGAACTAAGAAATAGTTTTGAGAAATTTTGTATATGCTTCTCTCAAAGCTTTATGTTTCTACTGGAGGAGAGTTGTGCGAAGTGCGAAGTGCTCCTTTGAATAGAAGATTAGGAATTTCGTCATAGAAACCATAAAGGTCAGATAAGTTACTTGTAGCCTTTGGTTGTTCTAATCTTCAGCTGCTTAAAATTCTTTAACGAAATTTCGTTAAAAGATACTAGATGGGAATTTAAAAAAATATTTAAAAGTGCGTGATTGGGAATTTCGTTATATAAACAGTTTGAGTTCAAGATACTAAAATCCATTCAAAAGGTTGCTATTTCCCAAGACACAGCATTGAGAATATAATCTATGGCTACATGCTTAAGAAACAAGGTTTATATGTCAATCATACTACACATTGTTGAAAGAATTTTAGCAAGGTAGATATGTATATATATAATATATTTTACTCGAACAAGCTAGAGACTAACTTATTAGCACACTTATATAATAATCACATCTCAACACTATGTTGCAAGATGACTCTACGTTTAACTAGATCCCCTTCCCCCTGTCGATCCAGATTCTTTTATATCTTGCAAACATGTATCCATCATATCCCGCCATATATTGACTATACACGGGATTTTTCCGGAAACAAATCACTATACATCACATTGGGTTCCTGTTAATGATTTCACCCATTATTTAGAATCATTTACCCACTTTTACCATCGATAAGTTACATACGAATCATAGGTCAGCTAACAGTTAGTTGCCTATTCTAATTCAGAAGATTTAAAATGGAGTCGGGCTTTCCTAGAATACGCATGTGATATGGAAAATTGCTCAAGCTGCCTTCTAGGATTGGGATTCAAAGAATTGCTCAAGTAGCCTTGTAGATAGGGTTCCAATATTCCTTTTCTTGCCTGCCAGCACAAAATATAGAATCCAGGTCGGTCAAAAGGTCTTATTCTTATGCATGCCAGACATTCCATCTTTCTTTTTTCTTTGCCATTATACCCTTTTTCTTTTCAGCTAGTGTGGCATAATAATAAAAAATAAAAAATAAAGGCAGTTTATCTCATCCCATCTCTCCGCAAGATGGACGGGTATAGGCTTTCTCAGCAAGAAGATATAATGTCTATACCACCCATTTCAGAACAATATGAAGGATCAAAATAGGCTACTCTACTCTGTACGTACTTTCGTTTCTGTTCTGTATCCAAACTATTAACTGCACCGGTGACAATGACAAAGGCACATCAACATCTAAAACTTAAACCATACTGTGCACTAGAAATCTTGCGACATACATAGTAGAGGAAAATCTTGTGACATGTGAACTCTTTATCCCTTCTTTACTGGGGAAAAAGGGTGGAAATTCAACTGCCAAAAGAGAAAAATGTTCTTTTGTTTTATTTGCACCTCAACACTATCTCAGCATAATCATGATCAATGAAAAATATATAGATAATTACAGATTCCTTCAAGAGTTGGTTATGGAAAATAGAAACGAACCTTGTATAGGACTGAATCCCCAGGTATCAGGGGACATGAAGAAGCTTGTTAACAGCTGAGTCCAGAGCATCAACATGCTTTCTTAAGACTTTTCTTCAAAATATTAAGGATTCAATTGAAAACTAAGATCAGAGAACGATAAGCTAACAATTCAAAGTGTTCCTACTTACTAATCACACAAGTCTTTTGTTGAAGCAGCAAATAAGGCTCCTCCAGAGAGAAAGCCTCTAACTTCAGTGGAGTACTTCCCCCCGCCCTAGTAAATATAAAATTCCAGATACAAAGAGATTTTGAAATGAATTCTTTAGAACTAGCTTAGCATGCTCTAACTAACATTATTCAGTGTCATCTAAATCATGGATTACCATGTTGTTAGATTGTTAACTTTTATATTAATTGTTTCAAAATTCATATTTAAACTTATCCATAATGTCTTGTAGGAGAAGAAAATAAGAAAGTAAAATTCATTAACCTCTTTCATAGGCTAAAACAAAGTTAAGCACAATTGGTTTTTTGGATAAGAAGATGAGATAGCTTTTGATTTAGAGTACAAGAGAAGTTAAAATCGTTTTATTTTCTAATTTTCTTCTCATACAAGTATCTAATTAAGTTTATCTTCTTTTTTTACAAGATAACAACGTTTATCCAATCATCACAATATGTGGTTTTCATTAGTTGACACTGTATATTATTAAACTATGAAGAAAAGGGTAAAACAAAAAGCAGCAAATAGCAAAGCAATTGGATACAATTGAGAGGCGAGTCCATCAACACTCTTCATCTCTTCATTCAATCTGCACTCCAAAATAATGACAACGATGATTAAAATGAATTAGGAAATGGACAGCTTTATCACCAAGCTTCATCTATTTTATTTTAGTTTCTTTCACATGATCTTTCCGTATCCCATCAATTTCAATGTAGACAGTTAATGAACATATTTAACAAAAATACCTGAGACAGGAATTTATATAGCGATTCCCCTTGGTTGCTGCATCAAGCACTGCAAAAAAGCAAATATAAACGCTTATTGTGATTTTTTTTTCGATTTTAATTGATGTTGATGGATGAAAAATTGTGGTACCGGATTCCTGAAGGCGACCGGTGGCATCGGTGAAGCACTCCATGTGGTGGAGCGAGGTGGAGGTGGATTCGGAGAGGGCCAATCGGAGAGAGGCGAAGAGAGAAGTGAAACTCTGAGCGATGGCGAGCGAGTCTCGCTCCACAACCTCTATCGCTCGGAAAATTTCACTCTGATTGTTGAATGCGATGCCGTCGGAGATTGGGGTTTCTCCTTCTGGATTGGGAGGATCCAAGGAGGAATCGCCGTCAACACCCTCGTGTTCTTCTTCTCTATCGCATGTTTCCCCATGCTTCTCCATTTTCAATTTTCAATTTTATCCAACAAACAAGTTTGTTCGGACGCAGATGAAGTTCTTGTGTCCTTCTTAGTTCTCAATCACTCTCAGCACAGGAAAAAAAAAATACATCCATTTCTTTCTCACTCTTACTTTTAATGTTTTGGATTAATTTTCATATTTATATTTTATAAAATTTGTAGTTTTGTTTTTTGAAATTTTTTTACAAAATTTTGATATATAATTTTTAATTATTAATAATTATATTTAATTTTAGTTTTAAAAAGAAGACATGACTGGTTTCTTCCACTCTCATTGAATTATGTCTAGATTGAAAAAAAAATGATAATTGAACTAAAAGTTAAACAAAGATACAAATAATTAAAGATTAATAGATTAAAATTACCTATTAGGGACAAATTTCACAAGAGACTGAGATTTTCAATATTTTTTTATTAACAAACAAATTTAAAAAAAATCATATACCAAATATTACTATTTCTCTTATTAAATTTTTCTTAAGGAAACTCTCGAATTGAAATATTATTATAAATAAATATGATTAATAAGAATTGATAAACTGAAGTATGTAAAGTAAACGAACCTGATAAGTTTAGTATGGACAATATATATTTATTTCGATATTGGTATGTATTTCACAAAAGTTTGCAAATAAACAGACTATTCCGTACGCAAAATAATAATTCGCAAAAATAGTTTTTTTCAAATGAAGTTTACCAAACTAAAGTGAACATGTTTTTTTTTTTATTAGACATTACTCGCATTTGTAACTAACGGCCCAATTTAAAGTGCACTTCAACTCAAAAGTGCGTTTTCTTATTTTATAAAAGCCCAATCTATTTCTTTAAAGTACCTTCGGCCCGAAAAATAAAATGTAACCAATGAAGTGATTAAGTTTTCATGGATAAAAAATAATAATAATTAGATTTACACGAAAAGCTTAATCATGAGTGAGTATACCTCGAAATTTTTTTCTTAAATTAATTAAAAAAAGTTACATTTTTATAATATTTAAAATTTTAATATGTGATGATACAATTTTCTCCTTCTTTCTATTTTCCACCAAATATATAAAATTCATTACTCAATAGTAAAAACGACTAGTATATAAAATACAAAAAAAAGCTACAAAATTATTGAAATTGTTAATAAAATTTGTTTTTTTATTTGTAATTTTAATTCATATATTTTTTAATTTTTTATTACACGTGAATATTTGAATATTAATGAATATTTATATGTGTATATTAATTTTTAATTATATTATTTGAATAGAGTGTAATAAATATGAAATTAATTATACAAATAAAATAAAAAATTTAACATATTTATATTTTGTTATTGTAATATTATTGTACTAATTTAAATTTGTATAATAAAATATTTTATAAAATATATACCATAGAATCATTATTGAATATTTTTCATGCTCTCTCTTTGGTATTTAGTGTATATAAAGTGAATTTCTTTTATAGAATACAAATTAAAATTTACATTTTTCATTTATAATATTGTTTGAAGCATTTGTTTTTTTCAATAAAATCTTATAATATCTGACAAATTAAAATTTATCATATTCACATCAAATCACATTGCGAAGTAGTTTCCATGCCAATTAAACTGGAAAAGGTAATCATTAAATGGTGGAAGATCAAAATCAACGTCATTAATTACAATTTAATTAATTGAATATTTTTTAAAAATAGAGGTCAATGTGAATTTATTTTCTTTGACAAAACAAGACAAAGTTTGAAGGAACTATAAATCATGAAGGAGGAACTTAGTCAAAATACAGGTATGCCTAATTAATTTACCAATTAGATTATGATTTGGGTATTGAGTTAAAAAATATATATTTATAAATAATTTTAAAATATATAAATATAAACTTATTTTCAGAACATTTATCACAGCATTGTAACTGATCCTTAAACGGTTGTAAAATAATTTTGCAAATCTTCTTATATTTATACATGTTATTATATAACACTTAAACATGTTTGTATACAATTTTTTTTTTACCTAAACATATATTTTAATCTTTTTATCTTATATAAAATAAGTAAAACTAACAAATTATGAGAAAATTAGTATGACCATTGACCATATCTTGTGGAGAGATGTTGTAAAAAGAGAACAGTATATAATTTTCCTTGTTCATACTTGTAGCATATAAATAAATTCACATTTCATGTCTCATTTTGAAAATTAAATTTGTATAAGTTAAAACTAGTTTATGCACGAGTTAATGCGTATAAATTTTTTTATATATTTGTCTACAAAATTATTTGAAATTTATACAAGATGTTATTTTTTTCTAAAAAAGGCAAGATCACACAAACGTATAAAATCAACAATATTTGATCAATAATATAATGTTTTTCTTCTTCAGTTTGACAATTTTTGCAACAAAACCTGTCATTAAAATCCACGTTGATTATTAAATTAAAATTTAAATTAATTTTTAAAAAATAACACAAGGAAAATTTTGTTCTTGTAACAAATCCAACCCAATATATTTTGTCATATATTTGTTGTCATTGAAATAGTTATCTCAGAGAATTTCCGATCTGGTTAAAATAATAGGGTGACAAACACGTTTGGCCAAAAGCAAAGGTGACGGGTTAATTGAGAATTAAGACATTTATTTTTATAACAACTTATTATTTAATTATTTGATATTAGTTTAAATTACGAAAGGGAAAGGGGCCGGCGGGAATGGCATTCGAGAGTTAGCGTCAAAATCGTAAAATTGAAAAAAGAAGGTACTGTTTTGTTATTATCTGTGATTGAAAGGGTAGTTAAAATCTTAGAGATTCAAATTTCTTTATTTAGCTTGTAATCCAATTCATTACACCCTTTCCCAAATTTTCCAAAATTCCAGGTCCTCACACTGTCATTTGAAAACAACATCAGAAACAAAGAAAAATAAAGAAAGAAAAGCTTTATGTTATGCTCATTGCTTCAACTCAACCTCCTTTCCACACTCTCTCACAATCTCTCCCACCTAAATCCTCTTCTTCCTTCGCCAAACCACAATTTCTTCATTCGGTACCACAATTTCCCCGTGATTTTCCTCGATCCGTCACCGCTCGCATTGTTGTTACATCCTCATTGCAATATTCGGTCCTGTTTCGTTGGATTTGATCTGTGTTTTCCGAAGCTCTAACTTCCTCTCCCTCGCTTTTTCCCCGCATTGTTTCCCTGAGATAGGTTCGCGCCGATCTGTTCCTCTTTCTATTTGATTTCGTCTCTTTCGCTGCGTAATTAATTCGGAAAAAATGTCAGTAATATATATTAATGATAGCAATAATACGTGTCAGCTAATTTTGTAGCTTCGATTGTGAGCTTAGTGTTTCAATTCGGTTTCTCCGTGATTGCAGTTCCTGAGAAAATCGTTTGAACCTTAATAACACTTTTTTATTCACGAAATGCAGCACCGATATTGTACTGGAGTGACAGTGGATTGTTTAATGTAGCTTATATTAACCCTAATTGTTAATTTTTTACCGAGAAGAAGCGTATTGTTATGTTCATTCTGCTTCTGTAATGTTATTGGTAAAAAATGGGTGAATCCGTGTTGTTTTGGCTAATTTTTTCTGCTGCAGTGAGGCATTAGCTTGTTTGGGTTAAATTTGTGCTTATCAAAATTCCTTGCTGTGGCAGTGTAGGTGCAATTGCTCAAGAGGGTGAGAAGTGTCCAAAAGGAGCATGCAGTGGGTGCAGGAGGGGCGGGGGAAGGGGGGAACTAACAACGTAAATGGGTTTCCTCGTGCAGGTGTTAACCGGAGAGGAGTTTCACTGACTTCTCCATAGTGAGATGGTTATTTTGAATTTTTGTTCACCTACCTTTTAAACACTGATTTTTGTATTGTTTCAGGTAGCCAGCAGCTTCCGTCGCTGGTGAAGTGGATAAATGCTGTGCTTCCTAACTTTAATCTGCCTTTAGATACTTCAGAGGACGAGTTGAGGGAACGGTTGAGGGATGGATATGTGTTATGCAGCATTTTGGACAATCTGGTTCCTGGTTCGGTGAAGGTAGTAGGAGTGTCCTTCGTTGTGTAATATACTTTTGTCTAGACCTTTTGTTTTTGCGTGTGTATGCTTTTATTTTTAATATTCTCTGTTTTCTAATGTGCGACACTAATTAGTGTTTTCAATTTATTTATTTATTATTATTATTATTATTATTATTATTATTTTCTTTTTATGTGTAGACATTAAGTTATAGAGTTTGTTTATTTTTGTCCTCTGGCTTCTAAGCTAAGGCCTTGATTTTTTACTTCAGGGCAGTGGTTCTATGAATGAGCTAACCGGTGTGAAAAGGTTTCTGGTAGCTTTGGATGAATTGGGATTGTCTGGATTTGAAATGTCAGACCTTGAGCAGGTATAAGAAGTTTTGTTGTGCAATGTAGTTTGAGAACATTGTGAGTTATGCCTATGAATCTAATTGGCTGTCCTTGACACTATAAGGGTTGGCTGGATAAATACTTCATTTGTCTGTAAATTGGAAATAGTTGGTTTGTTTAATCTTTTCTGTGACATAATGAAGGAGAACCACTGAGCCATTTTGATTGTGATACGTATTTTTTTATGATTGAGGTCATGTGTACTTCAGTTTCTTTCTTTAACACTGGAAACTGATACTCTTCCATGTAACATAACACTCAATTTCCTTTCTTGTTTACTAAACTTAGCTAGTTTCGTCCTAATAATTGAATCTTGTGGCCTGAGAATGTATGCAGGGATCAATGATGTCGGTATTGCAGTGCCTTGAGACTCTAAAAACTCATTTTGCTTATAATGCTGCTCGAGAAAATATCCAAAGTTGTTCTAGAAAGAGGTGGGACCAGTCAAATCTAACATCCTTAGACAAAACTGATAGTTGCCTCGATGATTCAACATTTCAACATGCTTTTGATGGTTCTGTTGGATCAGGTATTGCGATAGATTAAAAAGTGCCCTCCTCTCTGTATAATATTACATATTTAAATAAAGATGCCACGTTATCAATGTATTTGGCATCACCTAATGGAATAAGGATTGGTTGTTGTTTAAGTATTTTGTTTCCATATCTTTTTAAACATTTTATTTGTTATGTTTTACCTTTTGTTTCTTTATCCAGATGGAATCACATCCGTAGATCATACTGGAATAAAGTCTGATGAACTGTTCCAGTTGAAGCAAGGATTCCATGTAGATTATTCTGATGCTAAACTTAATGAAGTATTGAAATCAAACAGTTTGGATGTAAGTGATGAGATAAGTTGTTTGCCTCTATCAAGTTTCCATTTCTTCTTGCTTATACATTAAATAGTTTCACATATATAATTATTATGGACAATTCTCTTGCTTTCTCCCTGTGTGTTTGTGTAATGCCCGTTGGTTCTTGCTGTTAACTCATATTACCTAATATATTTGTGATTCTTTTTCCTGCAGAGTGTCTCAACTCAATTACTTTTTAATATAGGAAATAAGGTCCTAAGTGATATATTTGAAAGGAAAAATGGAGATGTACCTCAGGTAATTGGGCAAAATACTTCTACAACAAGTAATGCACAATGCTATTTTATTGTTTAAGCAAATTTAAATTTGATTATCATTCAGAAATAGATCAAATTCTCATTTTTTAAATGTTTATAGGCTCATCGTGCTGCATGCTTATTGAGGAAAATTCTGCAATTAATTGAGTTGCGCTTTTCAAATCAAGCCGAAAGCATGAAAAATGTAAAGTTATATTTCTTTTCACATGTCCCCCTGATGAATATCAGTTTTTCAGCTGTTCCTGAACAATGACCATTTAACTATGTTGCATACCTGAAGCAAAACAATCTTTTCAAGGCTCGTGAGGGAAAGTATCAAACAAGAATAAATGCACTTGAGACGTTGGCAGTAGGGACAACCGAAGAGAATGAGGTATTTTTGTGTTGATGGATTTGGCGCAATGCCTTACAGTTCTTTTTATATTATTACATCTGCTAATTTAATTTTGAAGCTGCCTCTACTTTCTACAGGTAGTTTCAAGTTGGGTTCAGCAGTTGAAGGTGCAAACCTACCTCAATTTCTATCTTTGAGTTTAAGATAATGGAACAAACTAACAGTATAGATCCTTGTTTATGTTAAATTTACTCACTATTTTTGTCAGTCATTGTATCATTGTTTACATATGTGTGTGTGTGTGTTTAGGGAAATCAAATTACACTGATTATGACACCCTCACTATCTTTGTATGGAATAATTTTTATTGATCCAATCATTGGAGTATAATTATATATTACCTTGACTGGTGTGTCAACTTTGTGAAAATTGAACGTCAATAAAAACATAATCAAATTATTCATATTTTTTAATGTTTTAGGAGTATATATTACATCAATTTTGGTTTATATGGATTATTTATCGAAAATTTGGCTTAATATTACATCTGTGGATATGACTGAATGAAAGGAACTTTCAATCTAAGCACGCACTAATTTTTATAAATCCAGCTTTTGAATTTTGATGTTAACTCAACGATCATGCATACCAAAATTTTGGTAAATCAGACTTTTAAAGTCATCTAATCTTATAGTTAAAATGTACTCATATTTCAAAAAATAATATTATACTGTAAATTGATTTTATTTAATAAATATTGAATAGCTTTTATATTTTATAAAAAAGGTATGAACTTGATCTGCTAAATAAAATATTTTAATTAACAGCTGAGTTAATAAAATTTAATATTTATGAAGGATTATTGAAGGGAGGAACCTGATCTCCTCTCTCTCTCTCTCTCTCTCTCTCTCCCTATATACATGTGTGTGTGTGTGTGCGTCTCTCTCTCTCTCTCTCTCTTATATATATATATATATATATATATATATATATATATATATGCATTTCTTGAAGTCAAGAAGATCAAGTGATTGTCTTGGCTTATTTATGTTGAATCTTCGAGTAAAGGTCTTCGAGTAAATAGTCGAAAACTATAAATATGCCGCTTATATTGCATGTCTCCAATGCAGCAAAGCAAGTATATTGATCAGACACAGATATTCACTTGTCTACCAACAGTTTATGCAGTTAAAAAGGTTTAAATGGGTGATTGATACCTATAATAAATGATGTGTATCTTTTGAAGTGGTGTTCCCTTTTATCAGAGTGAAAAAATAATAAAATGATTTTATTTATATATAAATGTATTCTTGGATTTTAAAATTGCAAAACAAGTAGCTTTTCCAATTATAAATGTGATTTCTGTTGGCTGCTAACTTGCTGCAATCATTTGCATCATCAGTATGCTTTGCAGGTTGAACAAACTAAATTTGAGGAGAAGCACAAACTTGAAGAGCAGGACTTTTCTCGTTTAAAGAAAGAAAAAGTTCGTAGTGAAATTGAAATTTCTGCACTGAAGCAAGATTTGGACATAGTCAAAAGAACACATGAAAAACATGTTTCAGAGTTAGAATTGCATGCTGCCGAATCTAAAGCTGAATATGAAAAAAGGATAGAGGAACTTAAGCTTCATCTTGCAGATGCAAGAAAGCAAGTGAAGGAACTAGAGGCATTTTCAGAATCCAGATTTTTGAACTGGAAGAATAAAGAACATACCTATCAAACTATCGTAAATTTCCAATTTGGAGCTTTTCAGGTTTGCTTCTTTGTATAGCTGTTTTTCTTTATGGTTGTCAAAATTTTTCTTGTGCTATACCGTGTAATTTGATGCTTTATAGGAACTGAGAGCTTCCATGAAATCTGTCAAAGATGATATAATAAAAACAAAAAGAAGCTACTTAGAGGAATTCAAGTACTTTGGTAGGGTACAATGTTTAAATCTGTTCATTATTTATTGGTTATAGTTATTATGATGGATTAGATGTATTTAGAACTTACAAGATGTGCATATGCAGGAATCAAGCTGAAAGGTCTAGCCGAGGCTGCAGAAAATTATCATGTAGTTCTAGCAGAAAATAGGAAACTGTATAATGAAGTTCAAGATTTGAAAGGTATGTATTACATGTTATTATCATGTAGTTCTAGCTTATATTAAGGTTGTGTGAACTAGTGAGCTTTGTTTGATTGCTGACCTGATTTATTTTTTCCTTATATTCTAAATCATTTATGAATAGGTAATATAAGGGTCTATTGTCGTATTAGACCATTTCTTCCAGGGCAAAGTCAAAGCCATACAACAATCGAGTTTGTTGGTGATGATGGAGAACTAATTGTTAGCAATCCTCTTAAACAAGGAAAAGAAAATCGCAAACTTTTTAAATTTAACAAGGTTTTTGGTCAAGCAACAAGTCAAGGTACTGCATTTTTTCATTTCTATTTCATGATTATTATTATTATTGCTACTAGTTTTGTATTGTTAGAATTTATAGCAGTGTTCAACTTATACATCAATATTTTCTTTTTAGATGAAGTATTCAAGGACACTCAACCACTGATTCGATCTGTTCTTGATGGGTACAATGTTTGTATATTTGCTTATGGTCAAACTGGCTCAGGAAAGACATACACAATGGTATGCGTTAAATTTGTTTAATACTTTATTTCAGTCATGTATCTAGCTACTTTACTCAGCAGTTGCTTTTCTACTAGAGTGGACCTGGCCTATCATCAAAATCAGATTGGGGAGTCAACTATCGGGCACTTCATGATCTTTTCCATATCTCCCAGAGTAGGAGAAGCTCTATTGTTTATGAAGTTGGAGTTCAAATGGTTGAAATTTATAACGAACAAGTTCGTGATTTACTATCAAGCAATGGTCCTCAAAAGAGATATCCTTTTCCTTTCTTTATTGTATATTCCCAGACCCACCACAATAGTGGGAGTCTTATGCACCGGGCTTCCCTTTTTATTATCAGGTGTGAGACTGGAGATATTCATAATTAATCTTGCGTTCTTTTTCATTTATTGAAATACTAATATTATTCATTTATTTACTTCATGCTTTTGTGTTTTTTATATTGTATGACTATTGTTCTGTTTAGACATAACAACGTTTACCATCCATTTACTCTGACTTGATTTTTAAGGAAAAATATACCAAGTATTATTTCCTTGACTTGCACACACTTGGGATTTGGAATACTGCCCAACCAAATGGGTTGGCTGTTCCTGATGCAAGTATGCATTCTGTGAATTCAATGTCAGATGTCCTTGAGTTGATGAATACTGGGCTGATGAATCGGGCAACTAGTGCAACAGCCTTGAATGAAAGAAGTAGTCGATCACACAGGTTGTATTCACAATTTTAAGTTTTTCTTTATTGCCAATGTTCAAATTGTGAAATCGCAAAACTCATTTTATTTTCACATCACATGATAGTGTTCTCTCTGTTCATGTTCGAGGAACGGATTTGAAGACCAACACACTGTTGCGTGGATGTCTGCATCTTGTAGATCTTGCAGGAAGTGAGAGAGTGGATCGTTCTGAAGCAACTGGAGATAGGCTTAAGGAGGCTCAACATATAAATAAATCACTATCTGCACTAGGAGATGTGATATTTGCTCTATCACAAAAGAGTTCACATGTGCCATATAGAAATAGTAAATTGACCCAACTTCTTCAGAGTTCGTTAGGTAATTGTTGCCATTATTGGTATTACCTTACAGTTTTGTTATATTTAATTTCATTTATTTGTGATTTGGTTAAGCATATTATACTCATGGCTTGCTAAATTGCAATGTCCCTTGTTATTTATAGGCGGTCAGGCAAAAACCCTTATGTTTGTGCAGCTTAATCCTGATGTTGCTTCGTATTCTGAAACTGTAAGCACCTTGAAGTTTGCTGAAAGGGTTTCTGGCGTTGAATTAGGTGCCGCTCGTAGCAACAAAGAGGGAAGGGATGTGAGAGAACTTATGGAGCAGGTGTTTTTTTATTTTTGATTGCATTGTACATAGATTAGTTGATGGGAGTGAATTCAATGCCACATTATCAGCAAAACACCAGACGTTAGGAGTTAGGATTTAGTTATTGGTTTGCTTTACACTTATGCCCCTTCGTCATTCAGTTCATCACTTTTGTGTAGGTTAAGCTGATTGTAATATCATTTATAAATTCACACTGACTTGTATTATTCTTGCAGTTGGCATCTCTCAAGGATGTTATTGGAAGGAAGGATGAAGAGATTGGGCGGTTACAGTTGCTCAAAGCTAATCAAAATGGTGCAAATCATGGTATGATCTCAGTTAGACACGGGTCATCATCTCCAAGGAGACACTCCATAGGGACTTCCCGAAATAGCACGAGACGTTCGGGAGCAAGGAGCTTAAGAGTCAATGGAAAGGCAGCTTCTGACATGGATAACTGCTCAGAATATAGTGATAAGCATTCAGAAGCTGGTTCTCCTCATTCAATGGATGATTTCAGGAACAAGTCCAGCTCCCTTCGGTTGAAATTAGCCAGAGATGATATCAGTCAAAATTTCAATGAGGACGTTGACCTATTAAGATTTGGAGATGCGGATTCGGAGGAGAGATTAAGTGACATATCTGATGGTGGTCTTTCAATGGGAACCGAAACCGAAGGCTCAATCAGCAGTATTGTGGAGTATACACTTTTTCCTGAACTCGAGAAGGCAGCTGAAACGACACCAGCGAAGGACAACACAATCATCAACCTTCCAACTGAGAGCACAGAGAAGTGAGTTCTCTCCCTCCCTCTCTATTAACAATTTACAAGGCACATATTCTACCCTAATATGGAATGGTATGGATAATACGACAATGATTGTTGGTTCAATGTATGCCTTTCATTACAACGGGTGCATAATAAGATTTGATGAACAAAATACCCTTGAGATCCTTGATGCATTCCAAAAAATACATCCATAATATATTAAAAAATTCTATATTACACATTCTAAATAATAAATACGGGGTGAGAGATGTTTGAGAATACATAATCCAGAACAGTATTAAACACATTCTTATTATGCAATCCCAAATAGGATTAAACGTCTTTTAGGATGATCATTCTGGAATTGTAGTAAAAGGCATTTTGGATGGACGTTCCAGAATTATGTTAAAATAAACATTGTTTTTATATAATTCCGGATAAGACATTCCAAAAAAAAAGAGTGTGTGTGTAGTCCAGAATAATATTTTCACTATTCTAGACATAATAAAAGAAGAGAATGGCAAAAATTAAAATTTAAAAATATGGAGGTGCAAGAAGAGAAACATGAGGTGGAAGAAGAAAGCCTCAATTGAAATCCAAGTTACTTGCATAGAGTTGTTACCAATTTTATTCAAACCGGACCTGATGTCGGTTTGTTTAATTGAATGCAGGCCCTTTATGCCATCCAAAATTCCCAAAGCTGCTCAAGTCCCACACAAAAGTCAGACAAGACCTTCTAGGCTATCATTGAATAAAACCTCCTCGAAGGCTCCGTCAAGTATGTGTATTAACTTACCCTTTTATGCTGTTATATCTAAAATGAAAATGTCTATTTTACTCTCACTTCTCACTCTATTTAGATTGATCAATCGCCCTTGGTGATGGTGCTTCTTATTTCCTGTCTTACATGTAGGTGTTAGAAAACCCACAGCCAGTAGCTCTTCTTCGGCGAAGCCCCTTAAACGTTGGCAATAGTTAGGATGCGTCTTGGAGGCTGTAGAGTGCTTATTTATAACGATAGCCTGTAGGAATTTTATTTATGTTAGGTGCTCATTCTAATTACACTCTACTCAGGGCTCAAGGGTCAGCTCATTTCAGCAGCTTCAATCTGTTGTTGAATGAGGCCATTTGCAAACTCTGGCTTGTAATCAGTTTGTATGTAAAATCATCATGGCCTTTTATGCATTATTACTGAATCTGCTGTATTTACAACTTCTCATTCAGTAATGTTATCTGCGGTGTTGTATATATAGCAGAAGGTGGCAATTGTGACAAGTTCATTAAGGATTAAAAAGTTATATTTTTTTTATCCACAGGAATTAAACACGTGTGAACTAGACCTGTTAACATTGAAACATTCCTATTTGAAACCACTAGCTCGAATGGTTAAAATTTGATCACAATTTAGGTGTTAGATCCTTTTGCCTAAAATATTATCTGATTATCAAATAGTAGTCGAACTAGCTCAACACTAATGATGTAAAACTAATGGCAATAGATTATTTGTTTTTTTTTATTATTATTATTTAATTATAAATGTATCTAATTAAATATAGATCAGCTTAAAGTTATCAATGTTTAAGCGTGAGATTCACTTGTTTAGTGGCTTTTTTATTTATACAATATAGTAAGTTATGTTTATTTTATTTTTTGTAATTTTGAATTAGTTTGTTGTATGCAAAATGCTATTTGAGTCATTTTCTAATCTTTGTAATTCATTCTCTTGAGACAAAGGATGTAAAATAGGTTTAAATTTAATTAACTTGTATAACCTTCTTATGGTTGATATAATATAATACTGTTTTTTTTTGTGGTTGAGTTTAATAATTATGTATTGTGAATGCAAACAATTTTACAACTCTAATCTTAAAAGGATGAATAAAAAAACACTAAGTTATTTCATATGCAAGTATGTAAATATATTTATTCAGACAATTTCTTTCATAAGGACTTTTAATAGGAGAAATTAAAAATGAAATAAAGTAAATTTTCTCTTAAATTAAAATTAAATTATGTATAAATTAATTTGTAGAAGTTTTCTTGTAACTTCTCCAAATTATTATTTTTTTTAGTTTGTATATAAGATAATTTTAACTAATAAAAAATATGTAGAGATATTATATAGGAAAACTTTTATATATAAACTTTACGTATAAGTTAATTTAAATTATTAAAAAATTGTTCTATTTTAACTTCTCATATTTTTTCTAAAAATTTATCCAAATATCTCCTATTTATGATTAGATAAAATAAAATTGTCTTACATTATGGATACATAACCTATTTTTTATTTTTATATTTATTTGTTTAATATGTTAACAACCGCAACCCATCAAGGTTTAAATTGAGTTAATTTTTTTAACACAAACTGTCACACAGATGCCACTGTCGATATTAATTGTTAATTTCGAAAAACACAATTTATTCATGCTTTATAATCACATTCTACTAATTAATTATAAGATTGATTTTAGCAAGAATTAAATGGAATTGTTCTCTTTCCGGTGGAATAAAATTGAATTTTGAGAGCTGTGAAAGATTTGCGTTATTCAAATCGCATTGCTCCATCGAAAAGATAAATTTGAAAACTGTAAAAAAAAGAGGATTTTTAAAGAGTCATGACTTAAGCACAAGTTATAACTTGGTCTGGGTGGTGTAGTTGGTTATCACGCTAGTCTCACACACTAGAGGTCCCCGGTTCGAGCCCGGGCTCAGACATTTTCATTTTATAGTCTATTTTCACATATTATATTAATTTATCATTTTTACAAATAAGTTTTAAGTCTAAATTAGATAAAAAAATATTTAAGCCTTTGGATCTAAATTCATCATCTATTTGTTTCACTAAATTCATCATCTATTTGTTTCACTAAATTCATCAAAAGCTTTAATTTAAAAAAGATTGGATTTTTTTAAATTAAAAAACTCGTTCTAATTCTGATACCAAAATGCTCGTAAGAAAATATGTAAATTAGTATAGAATAAATATATGCACGTTTAATTACAAGTGGTGTTTGCGCTTTAATAACTTTTTTTATGTGAATCAATAATGTTTCTAATTAACATTATCTCTACCATATTTTTCTGTGTGATGATGTCATGCAAATAACAAACTCAAATATAATTAAAATTAATAATTAAATTCTATTTTATTTTATTTTTTAAAATTAAATTATTGTTTTTCTGTTTTTCTTCTTTCAATTTGTATCTTCGTTTTCTTTATCTCTTTTCTTCATATTTTTAAATTTGGTAAAACGAATTTTAATAAATCCAAAATTTATTATACTTATCTTTTTTTATTTCTCTCAATTTTGATTACAACATTTTTAATATTAAGTACTATACATTAATATTTAATTACTTTATATAACATGTTTGCACTATTTGAGTATCACCAGACGAAATAGTTGTAGTTGAAATTTGATGAAACACAGTGGAAGAAAAATCTAAAAATTATAAGAATTAAATTAAATACTAATAGGAAAAATAACTAAAAGGTATAATTATATATATATATATATATATATATATATATATATATAATAGAAGTAAATAATGAATTTTTTTAATTTGTTATTTCTAAGGATTGAATATTCCAACCTGTAGCTATTGAAATTAATAAATTTACAAACTCGTCCACCTGCATCATTTTAATGAATTTTATTTCCATATTAAGTTTAAATAAAATTTTATAATTTTAATCACCATCTTAATAAAATATGCCACGTAACACCATCATGAATCATAGAAAATGTACATTCATTCTTTCTTGATTTACAATGATGAATCCCACTTTAAACCATTGAGAGAAGAGTTGACTTTTTTTTTAAAATATAAATGAATGCCACTAAGAAACAATTTTATATTTTATTCTAAATATGGTGTGAAAATCAAAATTATTACTATTTTTTCTTAATTACTTTGGAAGTAAAAAAAAAAAAAAAAAAGAGAAGGAGGTTGTGAAAAGAAAGGGTAAGAACTGAGTAAAGAGAAACAGTAATGCTGAGTAGAAAACCAATTGCGCGCAACCTTAAATTCTTCAGCTTCGGCTTCTTAAACCCTTTCTCTCAAAACATGAATTTCACATATTTTTCTACTTCTCAGTCATCAAGGTTTCACTTTTTAATCACCATCAACTTTCAAATCTCTCTCTCTCTTTTCCGATAAATTAATTCGTTGTCTTTTGTTGTTTTACTTCTTCTGCAGAGTACCTCATTCACTTGGCTCACTTGATGTCCCCACTCCTGATTCGGGTGCCATTCTCTTCGTTTCTATATTCTCACACAAATGAGAATAGAGAATTAACGGGTAAAAATACTGATGTTTACTGTTTTTCAATTTCACTTTCTTGTTCTATTTGTGTATTATAATCATAACTCATAAGCTTGACCAACAATGTTTATATTATGAAATTCCCGAGGAAAATAAGTGGGAAAGGTTCAAAATTGGAACTTTGTCAGTCAATCCTTAGTCATAGGTTTTGAAATTACGATACTTTTCAATTTAGTGAGAGATTTGTGTGACTGAGAAATTAAGTGTTTATGTAATTGACACTCGACAGTTAATGTAGTTTGCAATTCATGGTGTTATTTACACTAGACAGTTAACATAGTTTGTTGATAGTAAATGTAGTTTCATTCGCAGGCCCTTCCTATCCAGTGTCATTTTTGGGCTAGCTGATTCTTGAAGGAGACACAAAGGATCTTGGAAATATGTCTGGATGCAATAAATCACCTAAAAATGATCAACAATCAATAAAATATTGGCGGATTCAACATGGAGGAGCTTCCTTTAAGGCTGATCTTTCTTGTGTAGATTATTTGCCTACACGTTCCAACAACGAGGATAAGCAACCGTATGGAAGTTGTCAACCGAAGTCCCCTCAGATATTGAGCACAGCTCAGCTCATCTCTGCAATAGGCCAGGTATGCGATTCTGCAAGTCACTCACTTTCGGCTTTACTCCCAAAGGAAAATGTGAATCAGGATGATAAAGGATTTCCAAAAGAGAAAATTCTGGATAGCATTGGAGACAGAAAGATTGAGCTCGTATATACTTCAAATGGCACTAGATTCTATCCTCTTACTGGGGGTGCTGCAAAGATTGTGCAGGAAAAATTGGATTTCCCCAAGGTAATGCAGAAGATGTTACTATTTGAATCTCCTAATGGAAGTCAAGATTATATCCATTCTTTATTCCAGAGATTTTCACAGGCTAGTAATAAAATTACAAATAAAGATTTGAAAAAAATGGAACTTGGGAGGGAGGAAATGTCATGTAAATCAGGAAATGTATATTGGTGGGTTGGTAGGAATGCTAACATGCTAAATTGTCGAGTGAATGTTACCCAGCCTGATAACCTGGAAACTAATTCTCCAGTTGCAGGGGGTGGAATTTCCTTAGATACAAGCACTCCTGCACTGGCTAACGAGGAGAGGGATGTGTGCAGTCCTGATTCAATCACACACCAAACTCAATCATTGTCTAATGCTGCAATTCCGAACACAACAATAATTAGCCCTCTGTGTTCAGACTATTTTCTGCAAGCTGTGCCCGGTGCTAAGGAAGATGTTGGTGCTTGTCAGACCCTTTCCTCCAGTATCTGTGCAGACTATCAAATTAATTGTTTAGCTTCATGTAATAATGCTTCTGAGCAGTGCCTTCATGAGATTAATGGTAATGAATCACTGGAAGTCCAAAAATGGCGTTTCCTGGATGTAACTAATGATGAACCTAAGCTTCAGAACATTTCTGCAACCCATCCAAAGCCTTTTAATTCCCAAGCCAAGCAAGAACATGCTTTTTCTGGGGCGTTAGCTGGTGTATGTGTCAGCCTTTGTCTGCATCCTGTTGACACAATTAAGACTGTTATTCAATCATGCCGTGCTGAACACCGGTCCATTTTTTACATTGGCAAATCAATTGTTTCTGATAGAGGTTGGTTCTTAAGAGAAATCATGTTTTTCTAGATATCTGTGTAGCTTATATGTTGTCTCATTTAATTTAGATTAACTTTCCTTTTGAATTAAATCTCCCACTAGATGGCTTCTTCACAGAGATGATGGACTAATTTCAGGTTTGCTTGGACTATATCGTGGAATTACCACAAACATTGCATCTTCAGCTCCAATTTCTGCAGTCTATACTTTTTCCTATGAATCGGTTAAAGCAACTTTGCTTCCGTATCTTCCAAAGGTAGCTCATCTTTTTCTATAGTCTACTCATTTAAGTGGAGTTGTTTGAAGTTGGTTACCCTTGCTGTCTTGTGCTTTGCTTTTTCCTGATTCCTTTGTTTCTTCTACATGTGATACCATCTAAGTGGAAAAAACTATGCAAGTTAAACATTGTTGTAGATGTTGTAAAAGATCTTAGATATTTGTAAATAGGGAAACTTGTAATTACGATATTTTTCAGATTTCCTTCATGTATTCCTTATTTTCCTTTGATTATATATCAAGATTGAATGTATGTAGCAATCAAATAATTCCTGTAAACCCTTTTTACAAATATTAGTGTTAGAGATCAATGTTTTTATGTTTATTGGGATAAATGAAGTTTCAACCATCTTTTTCTGCAGGAGTATTATGCTTTTGCCCATTGTGTAGGAGGTGGTTGTGCAAGCATTGCCACCTCTTTCATTTTTACTCCAAGTGAGCGAATAAAACAGCAGATGCAAGTTCGTTCTCATTATCGCAACTGCTGGTATGCCTTAGTTTTTGTGATCATCACCTTTATGACATAGAACTGCTTGCTTTGAGTACCCTTGTCTTTATGCATTTGTTGTGAATTGCATTTATTCATTGTAATTTGTGTTCATTTTCCGAAGCTGTTGTAAAATTTCGGTATGTGCTTTATATGTGTAATTTGGCCATTTCATATATTTATGTCTTGTTGGGAGATGCTTGCTATGTCTGTGTGTAAGCTCATGGCTTCAAACATTCACTGAAACTTTTCCCGTGAAAGACCTGTATAATTGTATTAAATTTGTTTTGCTGGGTGTTATGAGTGTATCTGTGCAGGGATGTATTGGTTGGAATTATCAGAAATGGTGGTTTTACCTCCCTATATGCAGGTTGGAGGGCTGTACTATGCCGGAATGTTCCACATTCAATTATCAAGGTCAGTAATTCAATATTTGATGCACATTTATTGATCAAGCTAATACAAACAGATTTTTTGTCACCATGGTGGAGGGATTGGTAGCGCATGTCCAAAAGCCCTTACTGAAAATTCATTATTGTCCTTGTTGGAACTCAACTTCGGCCCTGCTACTAAAGATTCATTATTCCCATGAGGATTTTCATTTCTTAATATGAGGCTGTTGTGATTATTGATGTTTTAGTCTCAAATCCTCTCTGCTAATATTGTTTAGTCTTCTATGATAGCTTCTAAGTTCTTCAGAAACCATAGTTTCATTTATTGCTGTTTCCCGTGACCAATTGTAGTTTTACACATATGAAAGCTTGAAGCAAGTGATGCCATCAAGTATTCAACCCAACACGTGTCAGACTGTGAGTTAATGTTTATTTCTTGCTCTCTAGCATCGATTTTGTCTCACTGATGAATGTGACTAGGATGAATTATAAATTTCTGCAGTTAGTATGTGGAGGATTAGCAGGATCTACAGCTGCTTTATTCACAACTCCTTTTGATGTGATCAAAACGAGATTACAAACACAGGTTTGTTATAAGCAGACCCTTCAATTGTATAAATTCTTATTTGTACTACTAGAGCAGAATCTGGTGCAGTGCAGCGATCTAATTAGTTGTTGAAGAACCTTAACTCTTGGTTGATATTGATTATCATGTTATCCTTATCATATTATAATTTCATTTTGTTATTTTCAAATGTTGTTTTAAAAAGTATAATACTTGTTATGCTTTTTTTTTTCTTGGTCGTGTCTACCATGTTACTCTTATTTCATGATTCTGATAAAAGTGAGTGGACTGCAGATTCCTGGATCTGCAAGCCAATACGATAGTGTGCTCCATGCTCTTTACAAAATCAGTAAGGGTGAAGGTTTGAAAGGCTTATACAGGTAATATTTTGTGTCTTGCCACTATCATTTAGTTCAGAAGAAAAGATCTGATTGGAGCCACTGATATACATTATGTCATGAGATCTCTATTCCAATGCAAATTCACAATGACGTTTGTTTTTTGTTGTGCTTTGTATGGATGTCATCAGGGGGTTGATTCCACGGTTGATTATGTACATGACGCAAGGATCACTGTTTTTTGCTTCATATGAATTTTTCAAGAGGGCATTTTCTCTAGAAGCATCACATCCCAGAGATTCATGCATTCAGGCCAATGACGGGAATGTTGGAGAAAGAATAAACTAGGAATTAAGAAGTTCATCATATGGTGTTCCTGCAGCAGCTTTCCCAAGGATAGTTTGTATTCTGGATAACTAGATAGTGTAGAAAAGTTTAATTTTGCCACAAGCAGTAAAGCAGTTTCAAAAACTCTATATTTGAAGAATAGTTAAAAATTCTTCTGTAAAATCATCTTACGTATCTTCCAATTTTCCAAATGAAGAATGAATTGAAAGCATTGTTTCCACTTTTCAATCTCTAATGTAAACCAGTCATGTAGAATATCTTCATAGTTTATTTCATTTCCTTCTTTCCTTCAATGTGAACAATTTTAGTATTCTTCCAGGGAAACTGCTTAATCTTTAATGGAGTTTATCTATGACGGCATACCTATAAATAATTTACAATAAACATAATTTTCTGTTAATTTTTTAAATAATTATAATTTAAAAATTTTCAATAAAATTACACGATACAAGCTTACTTCTATTGGTCATGATGGCGTTCCTTGCTGTCTCACGGACCCTGATTCACCCTCCGATTCCATCCTCTTGAATAACTTGTTTTTGTCTTAAATGAGATTTTTAAATAGCATCAAATTGACTCTGATGAAATGATTAAAAGATTTTTTTTACTAATTAGCAAGAATAAAGTAAAAGTTACTTCCAAAGAAAGAAAAAAAGAATATAAAAATGTTTAATTGTGTATTCTAATTTATATAATTAAGTGTCAAAGATGTTAATTAAAAAAGTAACAAAATTTATTAGAAAGATTGTACGATTTATTGCTCAGCAAAGTATCAAGTATCATCACTAGTCACTGTTTCCTCATAGGTTTGAACTTAAAAAAGCTTAGCTCCATACTCAGAGAGAAGAGGCCAAGAATTCTTGAAATTATTCCAATCCACTTCCCATCATTTATATAATTTCAGAATCTTATCTCAATAGATACACAAGAGAGAAAGGATTGGCATGCTATCTCCTACTGAGTGTAAAGTATCCCCCTCCCCCTTTTAACTATCCCACACGATATGGACAATTTTCGGTTCCTATCCTACTTAACTGGAACAAAAGAACTTACTACAAAGAATGATTTGACACCTCTAATGTGCTATCATCCCCATTACACTTTCTCTCAGTGTTTAACAGATTCTGCAAACAGGCCATTGTGCCTAGTAAGAAAAACTTCACATTGATGCAAACACCCTCACTAAGATCCTTAACACACTTGTTACCTATTTTCACAGGTCATCTCCAAGACCATAATGTGTTTTCCACAACCAGCAATGGCTTAAAGCTGGTTTAAAGATAAGACGTAGCCGTGTGTTTGGAAACATGGTATGAGAAACCACGTCAATAACACGTACTGAAACACATTATAAATGTGTTTTCCATGTACACACTACAGCAGGGTTGGTCAGGTCTACTCTTTATACGCGTGCAATAGGAGAAAAGGGCGGGTTCGGCACATAGGATCGACGAACTCCTTTTGGATTCTTGCAACCAGTCTTTTTCTCAGTTGTGACTGATTTGAAAAAAAAATCTATATCCTCCTCAAGAAGCATTTTCAGAGAATTGCATTGAGATAACTCCTGGTTTTTCTCATGTCCTCCACCGCTGAAGGCTGAAGTTCCATGCAAAATGGCAACACAAATTGAGAATGCTTGTAAAGCAGATAATTGTGCATGAAAATCAACAGCATAATGCCCCTCTTCAATTCTTGTCATGCTGAAGGTAGGACTGCTTCCTTTTGATCCCTGTGCACCAAAAGGTCAGGTATGTATTAGAAAAAAATGATCGTAACAAAGAAAGTCAAAACAGTAACACTAAGAACAGAGAAAGCTGCAATAAGAAAGTGCTGATAATAAAACCTATACAGATGCATGTCTCATGGAATTAATTCATTGTTCATCCCAACGATTAATAACATTTTCTTTTCCTGCATACCTGTGTTCTATCTTTATATCAAATGATTGATAAACACAAATAACTAGGAAAAGTTCCAATTTTTCAAGCTAATTTGGGGGAACTTCTAACTACTGGGACACTACACTCTGCACTGGATTGTGCTAATTTTGCTGATGAATCCTTTTTGGGGAAATAATTGCACAAGAAGTAAAGAAAAGTTATGGTTTTGACCATTTCAGAACTCCTTCAAATTCAGCCAGAAAATTTATTGCATTAGTGTTTGGTTGAAATCTGGAACACAACCAATAATTATTTTCTGCCTGATTTGTACAACGAATAGCTACATAAGAAAGTGGAACCCATTCTGGGAATTGGAATGTGCAAATGCACAAAGTATTCCCATTAGATAGGACTTGAGAGCCTCAAGACAAGTCTCCACTATTTAATATATTTTCAATTTTCAAGGCTCTTCAAAGGAAGAGTTTCGGTGAAACTCAACTTATACCTGAACAAAAAGTTCTAACGGTTGATGTTCCTCCTTAAGTGGGCAGTCCTCAGCAAATTTGATACCAGGATTGCCCAAAAGAATAAGGGGACAGGCCATGTCCCAGCCACCACAGTCACAGCCTCCACCATGTCGTAGTCGATCAAGTAACGATGAGGGTCCCTGGCTTTCAGCATTTGGCAAACCATGATTGCCAGTTGGTATTACCACCTTCAACTGTTCCTGGATTTTGTTGTGACCAAGACTCTTTCTATCTATTTCGGCAGATAGATCACTTATGTTGGAATATTCTTTACCACTTATTATGTCTGCTCTTTTGTACTTCAAGCTTTCTCTCTTGGAAAACGGAATTTGCAAAACAATAGCAGCAATTTCAAGGTTTGAATGGTATTCTCTGGACGAGCAAGGAAAATAATTTAAATCATCAAATTCAACATTGCTTGATAGAGATTTGTCTTGAAGTTTGTTTTTTACTGCATGGTTCTCATCCAACCCCATAGCTTTTTCCTTCCATCCAACATGGGAAGCTTTCAGAGTTTTAGAAGCATCTGGTTCACTGAAAGACTTTTTCTCACGCGAAACACTTTGTCTTGAGTGTGTGAAATCATACAACACAAACTCTGTCACCATAGAGTTGTCAAATACTCTGCCTTCTACTTCAGAACATAAATTACATGAAACTAGCATCTGTGCAACTGTTGAGGAATCTTTATCAAAATCATGGCATCCCAATCCAGTGGCATTGCTTTTCTTTCTATTATCAATGGAATGAAAGGTATATACCCAGTTGAAAGCATTACCTGTTCTCCATGTCTTGGCCACAAACACATCTTCAGGGCACTTCACCTTGAACTCAAACAACGGCACTCCATTTCTATTTTCCAACTTGAGATTGCCGTGCAGGTGAACTGGTGAAGAAGCTATACCTGAATACTGGATCTCTCTGTTGATAAACTCAGAAATAATATCAGAATGCTTTCCTGTTTTGGACAAGTCATTTAGCAATGATTTCTGATAAGTCCTATTTCTTGCAATGTTTGCTTTCTCATTTGATTTGATCTCATTACTGCCCCGTATCTGACTCACTGGACTTCTCTGTGATTTTGACTTTGTGAAATGATTCAACCTTTTTCTGCTATGGATGAATTGTACTTCTGGACTTGCGCTTGATGAGCAATCACTTCCTAATGGAGATGGCAAGTAAGAGACTGCCGCCTTAGCCGAGAATGACTTTTGAAACGAGTGGACCGTGTCCTTTTCAACACAACAATTGCCATTCATTATAGAATCAGCAACTTTATCACTTCTGGGCTTCAAATTTATAGAATCTCTCCCTCGTACTGTGGTAGAGTTCTTTTTTCTAACATCTGAATTTACACAAATTTCAATAAATCTATTTGGAGATCTAACCCCAGAACCTTCATCATCTGAACCACACAAAGAATCAACAATGCTACCTGTGAAGGAAGTGTCACTTCTCCTTGAAATTTCTATCTTTTTCCTTCCCTCTACCATGGTGCCCATTTTCTTTATGTTTTTCACTTCCTCTGAACTCTGATACATGGAACAGCGCCTGGTTTCTATATTACCTTCCAATCCATGAAGTTTAGAAAGATGGTTCTTACACGAAGAACTGCGGAAGCGAGCAAATTTAATCTCAGCAAAGCCCTCCCTGAGAGTAAAAAATTCATCTTTCCCAGTGGGTTTTCCTTTCTTGGATATTTTCTTCACATTCACACGGTATTGATGAGATGGAAGAACAGTATTAGGACTCAGACCTACTGAAGACTTGTCATCAAGATCCAGCTCCAACTCTTGTCCCATTGATGAATCCAAAGACCTGCAAAATACCATTAAGAAAAAAAAAAATATTAGTTTGTAGAAATGCAACACACTCAAACAGAACCAATTCCACTTGACAAAGTTGAGATAATACTGCGTGGAACCTATAATCTAACAAAATTCAATTCTGATGTCTACAATTACCCGGAATAGAAGGGAGATCTTCCATTGAGGTAATTTTTGTAGGACTAAAAATAAAAAGGCCATATCCTCCCATTGAGAAGTGCATATAAATCACAACAAAACTTTGGCTGTAATAATCAACAAGGGATTCAGCTCCAAAAGTTTCAATTGAAGGGATTAAAATAACAATTGACGCAGGAAATGCTATTGTATAGAGCAAATTGTTGACTGCAATTGAGAAGCGGTACTAAACAGTCTAAACACTGTAGAACAATTGTCTACATTCTCATAAAAGATGTTATTTTGCAATGGCAATTATGACCTTGCAAACAACTATTATCGTAAAAGCCACGTCTCAACAGTGCCCTAGAAAATAATTGTAGTTAGATTATAAGAAAGAAGTATAATTAAAAAGAACAACATTGATTCCAAGCACCGAAAAAGAAATGCCTAATGATCTGTTGGGTACCAAATAATTGCAAAAAGAAAAGTAAAAAGCTGGAAAGAGCACTGTGATCTCCATAACACCCAAATGTGAGTAAAGTGACACAGATGAGTGGTGCACAAACACTTGATTAAAAACAATAATAAAGTACGCAATGATTATGATACCAAACCATAACAAGGAGAAATGCAAAGAAAGAGGGAAATTTTTTGAAAATAACTTAAAAAGGGGGAAAAGGGCATACTAGAATAGATCTTGGAGAAGTAAACTGAAGAAAAGGAGAACCCAAGAAGCAGCTTCAATGCACAATCAATAATCTCCAAACTTGAGCATAAAGTGTGCAGGATAACAACTCATTTGATTAAAGAGGCAAGTCCTGACCCATTGTGTTGTCTTGTGACTGTGAATTGGTATCCACAAAAGACACAAGTGGGTTGTAGAAACAAAAGGCAAGTCAGTTCAATCACCACAAACTAGCACACAAGGCATCAGAAGGAGCAGGAAGCATGGCAAATGGTGCCAAAAAGCTTGGTTAGAAACAGTAACAGAAGCTACACTTGCAAGAGAGAGAAGCACTGAACTCTCTCTCTCTCTGTCTCTCGCATACAAGATAAATAAGTAACAAGAGAGAGAAACCACACCAAGCTACTACATACTCGTTACTACTACAATGTTAATGCACATGATTACCCTACTAAACCAAAGCCATGCTCTTCAAGCACCATTATAACATGCGGGCTTGATTTTGTGGCTTTCTTTATGCATTTACTTTATTATTTATAATTATTTGTGTCCCACTGGACAAGTGATCTAAGCAAAGCAAGCGAGCAACCCGAGAAAGAATCGAGAGTGCCCTCGTGAGATGACAAATGACACCATCGAGGAACAAACATTGGCATTAATAATCAGTGCAAAAAGAGAAGGGTAACACTGAAATTTCATGCAGTCTTAACAGTAACAGTGACACTTTGAGTTTACCTTAGTGATTTTCTGAAACATATCATTATCTTATGGTTTCGGGAAAGGCATATATGACATTAACTTATCAAGAACGGAATCCCACAATTAACTAATAATTAAACCAGTGTATCATGCATTTTCAATAATAATAAACAGTAAGATATTAAACAATAAACACCATAATCGGTTTTGTCGAATTTGGAATCAGATCTGCAGTTTTGCTATGCTGAATTTATTGGCAGTAATGAATGCCCTTCTTGTTATTTCCCTATCCAACAAGGCAAGTAAAGTAATCTTATGAGCAAGAGTTGAATGATGTTTGACCAAAGTCAGATTCTACTCTATGAAAGTAGTTCACATATTATATAGATTATCCATATAACATATTATTTTGTGTTTGAAATGCTGTAAAAAATTAGTCTTTTATTTAGTGGGTTGGAGAAAAACTGAAAAGAAAGTGTTGGGGGTAAAGTATATAGCATATGGCAAACAAGAAGAAGGGTAGAAGGGTAAATTGGAGTGAGATGAATAAGGACAAGGGGAAAGGGTTTATTTATTTTTTATTTATGGCAGAGGGGTGGGAGGTGGTCAAAGACAAGGAAGGTCTTTGCATGTGATTGGATTGGCGGGGAAGAACCAAATTCAATGACTCACATCAAACTCACGGAATCTTCCAAATTTTTTTTTTTCTCATTTCCATGTTGGAGTAAGAAATTCATGTTTTTCTTAATTTTAAAGTCCTAGTCTATTTTTAATTGGATGGTTTATGAAAATATGATAAAATTAAAATAAGAAAATAATAATTCTATCAAATATAATAATAATTAAAAAAATAGATGATGGTAAGAGTGATAATTAAAAAGATGATAATTACTGTAATGTATAAAATGAATATATATATATATATATATATATATATATATATATATATATATATCAACGAATAAAAGAAACTATGAAAATGAGTGGCATATTTAATGAAAATTTCTTCCATTCTTATATCTATTCATATTGGTACAATACAACTTTGTAACAGAATTTTAGTTAATCTTTACAGTTTCAGAATTTTAACGGACCATGGCTGTTTTGATTAAACTGATTATCTTAAATTCGTTAAACTCTAAACTTCTAACCTACTATAAAGATAAGAATAATCTATTGAAAATATTATATTATTATTTTCTTATTTAAATTATATATTAAATTATTATTATTTAAAATAAAAGAAAAAATATTAGATTTAAATATTATTAATACATGATATTTTATAATATTTATATTTTAAGTACATCAATAAAATATATATTCATATTTCATATATCAAAAATACATATTCGTTAGAATCTTAATCATTCACATAATTATTATAAACAAATTATAAATTGTTTTACCATTTTAATTATTAATACTAGTTTTTTTAATTTATATAAATTTATCAAATTTTGATATTATTCTTTTTTTATTAAAATGTATATTTTTAGCTTAGTGTTTATTATTTTAAATGAAGATAGATTGTTATTGTTAAAAAAAACATCTGTCAAACTACCTAGGTTGATTTCTACCAAACCATTTTTGGATACAAGACTAAATTTCAAACATTATTTCAACATTTGAATTTAATTTCATTTAAAATATCAACATATTAGCACATATTTTAGTGCTAAACATCTAAACTACTCTAATTATTTAAGTTCATTGACCTTAATAAATACTTATTTAATATTTATTTAACTAGGTTATGTTTTAGTTAATAAAAATAGAATATATTTTATTAACCACTTCTAAAATTTTGTAAAATCATACAAACATATTCCGATAAGAGACATGATACACACTGTAATATTCTCAACAACTTATATTGGTGTAATGTAAGATAGGTGTTGGTATAATATTTTAAAATAATGAAGAGAAGTATAAAGAAATAAGTGTTGGTATATAATATTTTTAAAATAATTAAGAGAAGCATAAGGATACGAAAAAGTAGGAAATGTTTAATTAATTTCATGAAACATAAAATATCAAATTAAATTAGCATTAAGCATCATACCATTTTAGGTTAAAAAATGTCAAATTCACAAACTCTTACATATGTAAGTCCATTCCCCATTTCGCATAATGGGTACAGTTGGTATGATCAAGTGTGGCTTGTACAGGTCAAGAATTTTATTGGATACAAATTATTGAACTGCGTTTCTGGTTCTCCTACTTAATATTATTTTGGACTTAGGACATTTAGATTCATATTCTCGAACAAGTTCATAACTGCATCAAGATTTTGGTTAAGAGGCAGGTAAGCGAAAGTTTTGGAATTAAAATATAGAAGGATTGACACGACTCCAACCTATAGACAAGATTGAAGATCAATATTGAAGGATACATAATGAGGTAGGAAAAAACGTGACGTTATGTTAAAAGAAAACATAATTGCCTAGTTCTTTTCTAAAAAAATAATGTTTAAATGTTGACATACTCAGTCAATATAATCCGATCATCCGTTACAAACAATTCGTTATTTGAAATTACTTTAACAATTTAGTTTTTTTGTTTTGTTTTCCAAACCTGCAAACTGTGGTGAAAACCAATTCGGCGACATTGAGTTAATCGTTAAACAATTCGTCCGATGGTACTGTATAAAAAAGAACCTGAAAAATCACCACCCAACTTCGAGGACAATAACTAAGATAAATGGCTGTAGTACCATCCCACATAAGTATTCACACGCACTTGAACTGTACAGATAACCAATGGCTCTATTTAAAATACGAAGTATATACAATCTTTTGCTACCATGAGTAAAAAAATCTTAAAACTAGCTACTGCATAGAATAGACATTCCTAGTCACCAGTCACAACCTGTTTTGATGAAGCGGCTTGGACGTTTTCATCTTTCCTAGACTTGCCAAACGATTTCTGGGCATCCAAAACCGGCATATATGCTTCACTTGTTTTTTTAAGTATGTCATTCTTTTCAGATTCACGGGGACTAACCAGCTTCTTCTCAACATCTTCAAATTTTGCAGTGGCCCATGGCGCTGTACCTACACTTCTTTTTGAATCTGACGCATCTATAGTCAGGTCAGACACTTCATCACGGGAGGCAAACCAGGAATGGCCACAGGAAATGCATTCCAGCTGCACAAGCCGAGCAACAATCAAGCAAATCAATGAAATAAATTGGAGATAGTTTTGGAATTTCAGGTATCAGTTGAACATATGTGCAAACCTGATATCGATCACCATGTCCTGCGTGGATAATATCCCTCAAGCCCACCTTACACTCGCTACATCTTCGGCATCGCGCACCCGTCATCTGTTTCCGATATAGAGAAAAGCTAACAGTTAACAGATATGTCGAAACCGTTTAACAAATTATATTATTGTGGCAGGAATAAAAATGACCTGCATTTGTTGTGACTCATCAGGCTCTTTCTTGTTTGTTTCCTCAGCAGTCAAACCCTCCTAGAAATCAAATATTCACAGTAAATAACCAAATAAGCCATAGAATCGTAAGTCAGAATAATCTTTACAAAAAGAATCTTAACTAGAGTCAATCGTAACTAGTAGTCATTTATCTGCTGTACAGGTTTAAAAAAAGTCTTTAGATCAAATAAAAAGAACATAAGGATATTTTTCATTGGAGTCTTTAGATCTTCCCCAATTGATCTCTCACAAACTTTGTCCCAATTTTCACCCTAAAGTATAAAGACACTAAGATAATCATAGATTTCCACCTCCAAGTTTTGCTACTGGACAAGGATGTGTGTTAAATAGGTATAATGTGCTGAAGACTATTAAAGTTAAACTAATAAAATTGACTTAACAAAAGAATCTCAAGAAGCTGGTGGTTTAAATCAGAAAATAATAAGATAAAATGTACAAAATAAATTCATCATAAGAGCACACAGCAGAGAAGTTTCAACGAAGGAAAACAAAAGAAATACCTTCAATTCATTGGGTGTCATATTCAATATTTTAGAAGGTTCCAACTCTCCGTTTAATAGACGCCGTGCTAGGATTGCATTGTTCTGCCAAAAGGAAGAAAGAAAATATAAGCAAATCATTATCACTACAGAAATAAATAATATATGAAGATTGATATGTCAAGCCAAAACACACACTAGAGAAGTGGTAGTTGAAATGAACTTACGATAGGCATTATGTTAGGCACCAGTAAATATATATAAAAGATTAATATTATTTAATATTTATACTGAATTCGGTTTACTCAAATGAGAATCACCACTTATATTATAGAAGTAGAAAATGAAGATGAAAAGTGGCTATGGATGGCACAGAGCTACTTGCACGATGCAATATGAAGTAAAAAAAAATTCCTTTCCCAAGGAATAACCAATTTCTACACCAGGCCTAACCATAAAACTCTCTCAAAAACTCTCCTGCCCCATATTGGTTCCCTCTCGTACATATACCCATTTACTTTTTCCTCATGCATGATCCTTATAACCCCCTCTCCACTCTCCTCGTGCCAGAAGTCCAATCGGTTATGCTCCTCTTCTCTCTCTCCTCCTCCTTTTCCTCTTGCCACTTGTTTTATATTTCCTTCCAGTTGAGAATGGAAGGTAGTTTCATCAATTTATGCAATTCAGTTTTTCCACATTATAATCACACATTAAAAATTGACTTTTAACTTCTCTCATTTTCCAATCATCTATCATATGTAATTAGCATTTAAAAATCTTTTTAAGGATAAAAACCTATCAAGAATCAAACCAAACTCTTGCTCCATTAGTATTTAGGTGAGCTTGCAACTTTTGAAGACAGATAGAAGGGAGGTAAGTCTCCCTCCACTTATTAAGCCACCTCCTTGCTCTGTCCTAGGCTAGGAAGTTTTCCCAAATTCAGTTTTAGTTAAAGGCAATTGCTTTTTACTTACGCATCCCCCTTCCTGGTTTTTTGGGATTTTCCAAAATACCCTGTTTCAGGAAATTAAATTCTGGTAAAGGGTAAATATCCCAGAAAATAATTTCCAAAATGTGTTATACATTCCAGAAACTAACTTCCAGAACTGTTAAAATCGTAAAATTTCAGAAATTAACCCCTGAAGTGTCAAAGACTGATGGCAAATGGTGTTTACCCAAAAAAGGCTTGGCATGAAATTTTGTTTGGCTTATACAGAAAATCGAATAAGCTTTGTAATAAAAAAAGACATAACCATTTATAGGATTATAATATAGATTCCAGAAACTAGCTTCCAGAACAGCTAAATTATAACATGTTCCAGAAATTAACCCCCAGAAGTGTCAAACCAAAAGGTACTGATGTCTGGTAGAATTCCACAAACAAACTGATTGTAAAAAACAATTTGACTATGATCCATGGAATTTAAATGAAGCAATATTAAAACATCCAGGGTGCTGATGAGCTCTAATAATGGAATGAAGTTTGCAGCAGCTGAGCTTTGATAAAAGTAGTAGATGCATTGGTAGGAAACAATGGAACTTTTTAATTAAACAAACGAACATAATATGTTCTGTAACAAGTCCCACATTGGGGAGGTCTCCTTACCAGGGAGGTCTTATAAGGTGAGAGGTTCTCCAACCTCTTGAGCTAGCTTTTGAGGGATGATTCTCCTCTTTAGCCTTATGATTGTTACATTGGTGCTTTCATTGAGAGTCAGCCAACTCGAGAAGGGCTACCCACGGAAGGTTCTGAACACCGGAGGGTTCTGACCGGTAAGAAGACCGAGTGAAGTACCGGGGAGTGCAACCATCGAGGACGCTGACTTTCGAACGGGGTGGTATTGTAACAAGTCCCACATTGGGGAGGTCTCCTTACCAGGGAGGCCTTATAAGGTGAGAGGTTCTCCAACCTCTAGAGCTAGCTTTTGAGGGATGGTTCCCCTCCTTAGCCTTATGGTTGTTACATGTTCCCACTTCCTCCCTCCACCCCACACAAAAATTTTGGGTGGGAAGGGGGGACGAAGGTATGTAGTGGAATTTGATGGAATGAGTTTTATTGGGTTCCATGCTGTGTAATACTTTTTTCACAATCCAAACAATGGAATACAATTTCATCTCCTTTCAATCCAAACATAATCTTAGTAAACTTTACCATACTGAACACTGGGGAAAAATACATTATAGCAGAAATAATTATTAATGCATCAAAAACTACAGCACAGAGTTACAACTATGAAAATATGTTGATTACAATAAAAAAAAGAGAGAAAATAAAGCATTTTAAACAAATAGACAATTTCAAACATTACAAACAACAATTCATCAGTAATAACATGACAAATATGAGACCATGTAAAGATTATCACCATTCTATCAGACATCTTATATCTTAGAAATTATTTTTTTAATAGATATTATAATCAAAATATCCAAACAATAACAGAAAGTCCCACTTTATTCAAAATATAAGGTAGCAGCAATATATCTTTTTTAATCATTAAAGTGCATCACTTGGAAACATTTTAAGTGAACAATCCATATTCAAAGAGAAGCTTCTAACCTTGAGATTAAATACTAATTGCCGTAGCTTTTGATTATACTTCTGATAATCTGATGAAAAGGTATCATGTGAGGCTTTTTCCAGAGCAACTACAGCGGGAACGGCAACATCTGGCCAGACAAAAGACTTGGAAATCTGTAGAGTGAAAAAAAAAAAATAAAAAAAGAAGAAAGAAATGCTGAAATCATTATAACCCACAACATGCCTCAAGGAAAAGGGAAATAAATAGCAGGTCATGAGAAAACAAGCAACCCCATACAAGAGATCACCACAACAACAATTTAGTATGTACCTCTTGAACCTTGTCTTTGCAGTCATTTGCTACTTCTGAATTTTTGTCATTGTTTCCATTGTTGATTGCATCAGAATTGTCATTTCCTTTGTCGTCCTTCTTTATGCTGTCATCAGAGTTAAACATGAATTGAACACTTTGAAGCAACTTCTCCAAACATTTGTCACGATGGGTATCTCCAGTTAGAGCATTGAAATCCACTAATATGCGATAATGTTCTGAAGCATTATTTGCACAACTCCCTGGTGTTTCAGGTTTCAGAGATTGGTCACTCTTACGAGTTGTTTCCTCCTCCTTTGAAACATCAAGAGGTGAAATGCTTTTTTTCCTTAAGATTCTTTTATTTTTCATCAGATCTTCCTGATCAGCAACAGGTTCTTCAGGCTCAATATCAAGTAGTTCACCCAAACGTTGAAGAGTTTTCTGAACAAGCTCATCAATTTCTTGCTGTTTATTGTCTTCATAGTCCTTATCAGTTAGCTTCCAGAGTTTCCTTTCTACTGTGTCATACACCTTTTGCACAATAAACCCAGGATGATGCTTACGATTTGGAAGCTGTTTGTGTATGGGCACAAAATGCACCACACACTTATGCATAACAGATTCTGCAGGAACATCATCACGGTGGAAACTATAAAACAGCTCCCTTGTGTCACGTGATTGCCAGCTGCCACCACCTTTTCTTTCAGCTTCTTCGGGTCGATAGAACCACTGCCCTGTGACCATCATGCTGCCATTTAAGGATTGAGTAATGTCCTGACAAAACAACCCCTGAATAAGAAGGTGACAAGAGAAAGAAGATATAACACCACCCTCTCTCCCACAAGACAGAGGACAAAATAAATGGGATTAACAGACCCAGAAAACCATCAATGCAGCTCAACTGCTCAACAAGGTTAGATGCATACAACGTGACAAGAAATTGGAAAACTAATATCAAAACTCAAAAAAGGGTAACATAATGTGCTAACTCCAGCACGCACATAAGCCAGGGATTTCCAAGAAGGGAACAAAATGGGAATGCAGGGTTAAATATTATATTAAACACATAAATTTGAGAATAAACAGACATGAATTTATTATTAATAAGCAGGCAATTGTTATTTGTATTCCATGTACATCTAATAGACTTTATTACTTTTTCATTTCACCAATGCATGGTGATATTGACATACCCTGATGATTACCAAAATCTGGTATATGAGATCAAAGCAGATACCAAGTGTCATAACATCTTAATGTTCCAACCCAGCACATATTCTAAAAATATTGTAAACTTATGGCGAAATTATCTATTTGACAATAAATTACCTTAATAATAGCCACATATGGCTTTTGGTCTTTGTCCTCAGGTGTGAGAAGTATAGGGTCTTCCTGCAGAAACATCGATGTCAAGAATAACGATAAGTTGCAGGGTCAAAACACAAGAATGCAAAACATCTCTTATCTTAGAATGTCTTCAGGATCCACTTTCACAAATCAACCATCAACCTCATAAACAATGCACAAGCCATCTTCATGGCTGAAACGTCAAAGTACACTTCTCTCTCTGTTGTCAGAAAATAGGAAGAGTGCGCTTTTGGAAAGATTATATATAAATTACACTGCCATTGGATAAAGAATCAAGTATTAACTAATTTTGTCAGTCGAAATGCAGTAAGTCACTGTCAGGTAACAACTACTACGTTGCCGTTACTCGATTCCAGTTGAAGAAATCAAAGCCATTTAAAATAACACAAGAATGATATACAGACAGTATAACATATCAAACACTTCATTAAGTATTAACACTTCTTTATCTTCTCCTTCTCTCTCTAGGTGTCATCTAGTGTTGGAGTGTCCATTGAACATTTCCATAATACAATTATGCACATTACGTAAACCCTAGCAACGAAAAAAAAAAAAACAAACGTTCAGATCAAATAGCCTAAATTATTTTATTAAATTCCTACTAGTGAGAAAAGGTACTACCAGCGTGTATTGGTTCCCGTCGTACTCGAAGGAATCGAAATGCTTTTTCCGGCCTCTCCCCTTTCCGGAAACCCTAACCGGTTCGCCGATGGGCTTGGCATCTTCCTGCGGCGGTTCCTCTTCTTCGTTAGATCTCCCGTCCTGTTTGTCTCTGATCTTTCTCTTCTTCTTCTTGTCTTCCTCTATTTCTTTCTCCTTATCGCTCTCTTTCTCCACTTCCTCCTCTTCTTCCTGGAGCTTCATCCTCTTCCTCTTGCGCTGCTGCTTCGACGGGTTCTCGTCGGAGGCAGTGGCCGTAGATTGTAGCTTCGGAGGCGGAGGCGGCGCTTCGTCCTCCTCGTCGCTGGTTGCGACCTGAGTGAAGCGTCGATTTCCCATTCTTACACCCACCGCCACTGTGACACGAGAGTTTGGATTTTGTCGATGTGTCTGAAACCAAACGAAGAACCTTGCTATTTTTCTTCAACCTGATAAAAATGGAAAGTGTGTTATACTTCCTTATTGAAAGCTCCAAATTCTTCACGAATTTAGGGTGAATATTAAGGTCTACTACTACTACTACCTTCGACTAGGGTAACCAGAGAAAAGTTATTAATAAGTTCAAAATGAATTAATTTCTGAATTTGGTTATATAATTTTTCCAAACAAACAAAATTGATAGTTAAAATGAAGCGATGGTGATTAATAATAGGTTGTGGTACGAGACTTTTTAATGTACTTTGAGAGATTTAAAAATGATGAAAGTTGTAATAATCACATAAAATTAAGTGTTAAACTAAAATAAATTCATTTTAAGATTAAATTAACACTCTAACAAAATATAATTAACTAACAAATAACTCGTCACGTTAAAGTTTTAAAAATCACTATAACTGCTATAATCACAATTTTAAAACAATCAAAACAATTTAGAATCTTAAAAAAAAAATCTAGATTCTAAATTGGAGCATTGGAAATTTCAAAAATGACGTTCTGAATCTACAATCATTCACTTACCTTACACATATAGACAGTGTATATAAACAAATATATTTGAAATTTTAAATTTAAGAAAACTAAAATATAAAAAATGTCAAAGTGAACCAAATCTATTCATAATTAAAAATAGATAAACTTAAATTATTAGTTTATAGCGAATTAAAAAATTTAAACTCAATTCACTTCAAAGAAAACATTTATTAAAATTTGTTAAGATTAAATACTATATTATATTGGAATATATAAAGTTTGCATGTACGCACGTGCTGCACGTGCACGTGCCAACCAAAAAAGGACGTGTGCGTTAATACTTTATCGACTTCACCACTGGATTGGTGAGACCTACTCTTCTAGAAGTTGAACAAGGTTACTTTCTACGTTTGCCAATAACAACAATGATAGAAGATTTCGTGGGTTAATTTATATATTTTTATATAAGAAAAAAATATTGTTAATTATTATATATGTTTTAGGGTAATATAGATGAGTAGTTAAATTAATCATCCTTCTAATTATTTTAATTTATTATAGCAAATAAGACAAATTAATTATCAATAATTTATTTTTTTCGAAATAGAACACTATAATCTTTAAAAAAATTTATCATGTATTTTAATTACTTTTAGTTGACTATAAGATTGATTATTACAATATTTTTTTTAATGAGAGAAAGAGGTTTTGATAAGAACACCGTCTGTTATCTTATATGTTAACCTGAATGCATCGTACAACGCAACGTGGGCCAATGAGAACCAAAGGTTTTGTCAGCGTGGACAGTTGCTTCTTCAATGTTCGGCACCGTACTTGGGCACTCTCTATCTATTCTTTACCCGGTTTTCCTCAGTTACAAACCACACTTTTAAAAAAAAATCAGAATCAAAATGAATAAATAGTAGATAAAAATAGAAAAAAAGAGAAACGTATGGAAAAAGCTTCTCAAAGAATTGAAAAGTAGAGTAGGAAAGAGATTCACGTTCGTTCATTCTCCCGTTCACTTCCTTTCTCTGTCAGGTTTCTTTTTCCTTCCTCTTTCTTCAACTGATTTTTCTTTTTTTGACATTTTTTTCTCCTTGACGCTTCACGCGCATTTTATTTAGTTTTTTTTTTTTGTTTTTTAATTTATCATCTGGTTAAGAATCGCAATTGATGTGTTTGTTGTTTTTTCCAGAAGGTCGTTCTTTTATAACGATTAAACTGCGATTTGGTTGGTGTCGTGTTGTTCAAGATGGTGTCTTTTTCGGGAATATAGTAATTTGGGACTGGAATCTTGGTTGAAGTTCTTTTTTTAAGTATCTTTAGGTTGGTTTCCGAGGGATTTGTTCAATTCGATAATTAGTTAGTCTGGTGTTTTCTGCGAAAGAACTCAATTCAATTAGGTTAGTAAAAAATGATTGAATCAATTGCTGCAACTTCACTCCTTGTCCACCGTCCAATTTGCAGTGGAAATCTGGTCAAGGATGTAGTTTTTAAGCGCAAATATTTGAATTCTTGTCGGTTGCCGGCAACCGAGTTTTTTGGTGGTGGAAGGATTGTGTTTTCTCTAACTTTGCCTGTCAAATCTGATAAGGATAGATTTATGTTTTCATCGATTAAGGCTTTGGCTGTAGAGTTAACAAGAGAAGCACATGCTTATAAAGAAGAATTGCCCAACAGTGATAATAGAGATAATAACAGGATTGGTAGTGGATTTGGTCAAAGGTCTGAGTCGTGGCCTCCGGCTAATAGAGCCGATAACCCCTCTCTCCGGAATCCCTTACTCCGGCATGAGAGGATGGGATGTGGTTGGTTGGGTGTTATATTTGAATGGGAGGGCGTTCTCGTTGAGGACAATCCTGATTTAGAAAAGCAAGCCTGGCTGGCACTCTCTCAGGAAGAAGGCAAACCCTCTCCTCCTGCTTTTATGCTCAAGAGAATAGGAGGCATGAAGAATGAACAGGCAATTTCAGAAGTTCTTTGTTGGTCGAGGGATCCGGCACAGATAAGAAGAATGGCTAATAGAAAGGAAGAAATCTATCAAGCTTTACACGGTGGGATATATAGGTTTTTGTCAGGTTCTAAGGAGTTTGTCAGTGTTTTGATGCATTATAAGATACCAATGGCTTTGGTTTCCACACGTCCCAGGAAAGCTCTTGAGTCTGCAATAGGGGAGATTGGGATTGAGGACAATTTCAGTGTCATTGTAGCAGCAGAGGATGTTCACAGGGGAAAGCCTGATCCTGAAATGTTTATTTATGCTGCCCAACTTTTGAACTTCATACCTGAGAGGTGCATTGTGTTTGGAAACTCAAATCTAACAGTGGAGGCTGCACATGAAGGACGGATGAAGTGTGTGGCTGTTGCTAGCAAGCATCCTGTCTTTGAGCTTGGGGCTGCAGACTTGGTTGTCAGGCGCCTAGATGAGCTTTCAGTGGTTGATTTGAAGAATCTTGCAGACATTGAAATGACTGAATTTGGGTCTCCAGAGCCTGAGGTGGAGCTGGAGATGGAAAAAGATTATGACCCATCATCAGTTGATGATAATTTCTGGTAAATTCTATAAATGTACAGTTGATTGAACTTCATCTGATTGTTGATGATATTAGTTACAGGTTAGTTACTTGTGTATATGGTAAACATAATAAATGGGGAAAAATCATAAGTGATCTGCATTGAACACTGATGTTACTACTAATGAATTTTCTGTTCATATACATTCCCGAGATTTTACATTGGATTTACTGATAATGCCTCATGAAGTTTAGGCCACTTCTATGGTTTATATTTTCTGTTTATAGAATACAAATGACCTCATGAAAGTTAGGTTTGGTCCATGAAATTTATCTTGTGTCATTATTCCTGAACCTAACTGTTGAAGAATTTTTGTGATGAATGGAAATGAGGTGTTGTATTATCTAAAATGACTAAAAAGTACCACACAAGTGGCTTAATTTTAAACTATATTTCGCAATATTTTTCCTTGGTTAATCATAATGCAATATATCAATATATAGTATATATTGTTTACATGTTAGCTGTAACTTATCCTCTCACCAAATTTCTAGAGTAACAAGTTAAGTAGCGGCTGTCCTTCTATTAAAGGAGTAGAATGCTCGAAGGGGGACCTCTTTTATTTTGATTTGTGGCTTATACCAGTTGAGCATAAAATGGTAAAATTTACATGGTCTAATTTTTAGTCTTCTAGCAAAATATGAACTAGGTTTTTCTAAGCGATTAATTATTTGTATACCAGGTTGTTAAAATAAAATTAATTTACTTTTATCTACTCGTGAGAAAGTAAATTATTAATTACTCAAAGAATTGAAAAACACAAAATGCGTGAATCAAATTTATTAAGTTGCTTTCGAAACCAGCTTTGAAATGGTTGCAAATCGAATGTATCTAATGTGTTTGGAAGCAACAGCAAATGTTTGATCAATAGTTTTGGGTTAAGAAGGAAATTTTTTAAATCAAGTAAATCGAAATCTATTAGGATCTCTTTGAAGAAAAAAAAATGACAGTTTGTGTTTAGAACTAATGGATCATTAAATTTAAATATGATAATGTGATATCCATGATTTAATTTAAATATCTAGAAGGAGACCGTATAAGTAATTAAAGAGAAAAAAGAAAATGGGGGCTGTGATCCTCCGCCACTACTTGGGAGTGCATGTTTCGCATTTACATCGTTAAACCAAACACAATTGCATCACATTTGTCTTTGGTGTAATAAATAGCTATAACTTGCTCCTTTAACTGTAATGTGGCTTTCCGTGTCAAGAATCGAAATCAAAGACCCCGTTGAGAAAGGTTTTTGTTTTAGCAGTTTAATTAACTTTGAAAGAGATCAGGATTCGACTTACAAGTTTGCTTGTATGAAGAAATGTGTTACAGGACTTGTATGATTTAATTGTGATTTCATTGACCGAGGTCTTTCTAGTGTTGTTCTTTCTCATATTCTTAACAAATGGTATTGGAACATGTTATCTTGCTTTCGAATTTTTAATACATGATAACTACTAAAATTTATTATTTGACATGATCACTAGTTTGCTCCTAACTATCGGTGGATCCAATTGTGGAAATTTCTTATATGAAAAATCTTAGACAACATACGCATATATGAAGATTGAAAGTCTTCTAAACAAAATAACGGACAAACAATATATCGTATTCATATAAGTAATCGATGATGATGTAAATACATCAAGAGTAAGCTCAAGGGGCTTAAGGACTAGAGTGGTAATTATATTAGAATATAAATTCATTCACAATCAGGTGGGTGTGCTCTGGAACAATTTTGGTGTTCTAATTTGTTAGCTCCACCAAAATTAACTTAAGTATTGAGTTAAGAAATCTTATTTACCAAGAAGTTTTATCGTCTAAATCACCCTAATCCATGAAACTAACTATTCCGGAAAGTGAGGGTTGCTCAAGAGACCAACTTGTAAGGAGAAAATGACAGAGCCAGCAATGCATGTGACATTTTATTTGTCAAATTCCCATATAACCCCTCCATCTTCTACAAAATCAAAACAAAAAACCGTTACAACGTTGTCTAATTCTAAATTACAAATATCAGTAATCCCATTGATGTTCAAAATAAAATTGTTATTGACAAATAATATACCCTGACAGTTGATATACATACATATGACATAATCAGAAACTCAAAGCAGGCTTGTTGAAGATCCAGTGAACATCACAAAATACATAATTTTGTAAATTGTTAGCTGGGCAACCGAAAACTCTTCATCGACCTTGTCTAGATAACTTTTCTACAAATACTTATGGAAGAAAAAAAAAATGTAAAATGAATTGAACTTTTCCCATAAGTTCAAATCATCGTATACACTTTAAATTTTATAGAAGTACTTTGATCTAGCTTCACAAAAACTTGTAGGATAAGCTTAATTTATTTTATATTCTCATGTTCTTTCCTAAGTGTTTACCATTTTTTTTTATCTAAATACTGTCAGTCTAAAAAGTATATGTAGAGCCCTGTCTAACAGTAGTGATGTTTCTAGGTGCTAAATGCTATTCCATTCAGTTGGGCATTTTTGTTTCTTAAACAAAAAATCGTTGGTTGGGTGAAAGATTTATGAAACTAGCTCCCATGATAGTAATGCTCACTCAAAATTGCCAGCCCTTAATAAGAATCAGAAATGGTTTCAAAAAAAGAAAGGTTTTCCATTGGTAATTCAAAGGACTAAAATAACACATTGGTAATTTCAACGATGAAATTGATAGGTACTAATCTGGTGTACCACTATTAACAGAATCTAAATGTTGGAACCTAAATTGAGAGAGAAGGGGAAGAATAATACCTTTAACTTTGTTTTCAATCCACGACTCAACAACCATTCCAGCAGCTACACCACCACCAATGCATGCACTACAGAATAAAATGGCTTTCGGAAGTGGCCATCGAGGAAGGAAATAGTATTCAGGAATTTGCCTAACTCTCTTGGGTAATCGTTTCTTCAAAGTTGGTTGAGCACTCGGATTTTGCTGCATCTCACCACCAACGGCTTTCCAATCCACCCCTTTTAATGGATCTTTCGCATCTTTACTTTCCATAACGCCTCAATTCCAAATCTATAATTCCAAAAATTATGCTGGTGGTGCTTAAAAAAACCTCAAGAGTTAGGAAGATAAAAACCTAAACCAAAACAACATAAATTCGAATTATTTTTGAAACAGAAGACAAGATGAAGAAAGAATAACAAGTCAGAAAATCGAAGGACATTGCGTGAAATACCAAAAAATCTTGTAAGAAGCAACAAAGTTCCTGTCTATTTTTATGATGGCGTATTGAAGTCGACGATGTGATGTTGTGGACCACACATTCATACCATTAAAATTTTTTTCCCACGAACGTTGAAAAATTATAAATTCAGCCAAAATGAAAACTGTATTATGGGTTGGTAGTATAATTAGTTTGAGTATAGCAGCCTCATTTTCCTATATCCTCATATACAATACCAGAGTTTGACCAATCTCAGTATACTTGCAAATTGCATTCATAATCAATAAAATCAAACAAAAATAAATGCAAACCGAACATAGTTTCGTGAAAATACAACACACAAACCCTAGATTATAGAGACGAAAGGAAAATAAATGAAATAAAACGATAAAAAAAAAACTGAAACAAATTAACAAAATGAAGAACAAAATTAACATAATCTTGAATATATGAGAAAAGGAAATAGACAAACCTTGATTAATTGTAGAGAGAGTGTTGCGCTGACTGAGAGAGATGGTGCGTTTCGTGTAGAAATAGGTTTGATGAGTGTGGGGGGGTAATTTTGTTGGTGATTATACATACATACATACATACATACATACATATATATACATACATATATATATATATATATATATTAAAAACTCTTTCTAAAAAAATACTCATTAAAATAATTCTATTATATTACTAGTGTTTTATTATCATTTTATAAAACAGTATTTTTACTTATAACTTAAAATGATATATTTAACATGAGAAAGAAAAATAAGAATGAATGTGTAATTGAGGTTGTTTTAAGAAAAAAAATACAAAATGAGTAATTGAGAGTATTTAATTAAAAATGTTTAAAAAGAGAAAAATAACAAATTTTATTAATTATAATGATATATATATATATATATATATATATATATATATAATTATAAAGAATATGATAAAAAAGAGTAGAATAAATAAAATGTTATTCAATGATTAAAAAAATCAGTTGAATAAAAGGACTTCTTAATATATCATAAAAAAAAACGTGAACAATTTACCTGATTTTATATCTATAAATATCTATCATATTTTTTTAAAATAACCATTTTATGTTTTTTAAAATTAATTGTCTAAATATTATTTTTTTATAAAAAATATATAATTTAAATGAAATAAAATTTAAGATATAAGTATAATTAAATAATAAATAAAATTATATTTTGTGGAATAATTGTTGAATGATTTAAAATATTTTTATATTAGGATAACATTTATGAAAATGGTCTTAGATTTGTCATATTTTACTAAAATAGGTAAATATATATAAAAGTTGTGCTTGATAATATTGTTTCCTAATAAAAAAATTGTGTTACCTAATATAATTTGCATCTTTTTTCAAAGTCTTATTGTATACATATTTTTATTTATTATTTTTTTAAAGAGACGTGTTATATAAAATAACTTATATGATTTTTTTAATTAAAATTATGTTATATATCACGCTTTTGTTATATTTTTTATTATAAATGTTAAAGTTAATGTAACTTTCTATGTGTTTAATTTAATTATAAAATAATTTAAAATAAAATAATTTTTTATTTATCATATTTTAAGATTTAAAATTATGAATAACAATTTAAAAAAAAATAAAAATACATTAAATTAAAGTGATATATATATATATATATATATATATATATATATATATTAATTTTTAGTTTGTACTAAATGAAATTGATTTATAAATTATGTGTGTATATCAATAAATACATGTATCCATTCATAAATGACATAAGAAATATATAATAATAACTATAACAACAAGG